GGGGGGTGTTGAACTATTTCTTAATAGATCCATGATGTTGGAATGGAATTAGGAATTTGAGCCTTGAAATACAGGATGTTATTTAATTGGAGTAATTGGACTGGTTTATGATTTATTATACACTTACATTTGACAATAACACAGGAAATAGGATCATTCATGCAAATGATTTTGATGATTTACACATAAAAATCGATATTAATGAAATTTCAGTTTGTTGTTAAAATGTAACTGGAATGAAAAATGAAAAGCATCCCAGTCTTCTTTGTTGGATTTAGCTATTTGAATATGGACAATTTTTCAAAAGTTCTTAACATGTGGTTATTATTGTCACACTGAGTATGACATTATGTTTTAACCCACTCCTCAAACTTATCTAACGTTTTGCTAATAATTTCAGGCACTTGATTGGTTAAAATCTTATTATTGGGAACCTCAGAGCAAAGCAATTCCTTTTCAAGGTGAAGGACTAGGAGAAGTCAAGAAAGAAATCAAGTCTAAGATTCGTGAATTAGCTATCTGCTTGAAAGTCAATGGAAGTGCCCAGTCTAGTTCATCACTGCTAAAGGGAAAACGTCTGTAAGCTTTGTCCATTTTCATCATATTGTGACTTTAATCATTGTCTTGCACTTGTTTATTTTAAGTCAAATACCTTCCATTCTTGGTGGAAAGGAAGGTATTTAATGTTGAAATTAGTGTTTTCCTATTTTCTGTTTCACTTATTCCCATGAAACCTGTGCTGATGAGGAAGTATGTGTTCTAATGTTGAAAGCCCAATTTGAAAATTTGATGGTTGGAACTTGGAAATCCTTTGGCCCATTGTTATGTGGAGCCAGTATTCAGTCTTTGGTTACCACATGATTGACCTTTTGGCTCTAGTTCTTTGTTTTTCTTCTATAAATTAATTAGGTCTCCAATATGCTCATCCATTTCCTCCCCACTTCGCAAATAAGAAATACTTAAAAAAATTGAAGAAAAATGGTGATCATGATTCTTTCTGTTTTTGTTCTTTTCAGAATGTCATATGTAGTTGGTGATTATATAACCATGTTTCATTGCCCAACCCTTTGAAAAAAATGAAAAAGAAAAAAGTCTGTAAACCAACTTATATTTCTTCTTCTGGCTTGTTTTATTTTTTCTCATTCACGCCCCTTAACATGAGGCACCATACTTCACTTTGAATATAAGGATGAGTTTATATAGTATATGGTAATGGTGACACATGTCAAGGCATTTTTCAATTATTAATGGATTTAGAGTTAATGCCTTAATGTTGTAGTATCTTATTCAGATTTCAAACATATTGCAAGTCTATACAGTGTGGGTTATTTTGTTGGTAAGATGATTTTAAAAGAAATAAAGCTTGCACTTGCCATTTTTTTGTCCACTTTAGAAAATTCTGATGTGTATTTATTTTAAAGGGGTCAAGCATGGTGAATTGCTTTTTGGGCGTAATAAGCTTTTGTCTCTTATGGTCGGCAAGAGTCAAATGTCACGAACCGGAGGTATCACATTGTTCATATTCCTTGATACAATAAAACGTATTTGTTGTGTTTGTTTAGTATACCTTTGTGTGTGTGTAAAAGGGAGAGGGTATGCTGAGCTGAGAGGCAAGGTATTCTTTCAAAGAGAACTAAATAGTGTCTATAGAATATACACCACAACAAAAAATAAAAGGGAAAAAAGGATGCAACACCAATTGTGTCTTTTTTACCTCTTTAACAGGATACTTTTTTTTCTTGGCCTCTGGGTTTAAATCACATGTTGGTTTTTGAGAGTTCCTTTCTTGATTATGTAACAGATTGGTTTACTGGTTTGAGTGGGTGTTCTTTCCTTATCATTGTTCTGCTTTTTAGGAGGATTACCTGGCCATATCATATTTTTACATTTATATTTTTTCCTCTCATACTGAATCTTTTTCATTCGTAAAAAAACTCAAGTATTTAATTTCCTCAAAGAAAATTGACTAAATAAATGAGGCAGATTCCTAACCTATGAATTATTGGATTTTTTTTTTTTTTTTTTTACTCTGAAAAATAAGTGAAACTGAAAAAAGTTGTTAGATTATCTTCAATTTTATTAATGTTTCTGGCTATTCATGTACTAATTACGTGTGAATCGTGATACTTTCAGGACCTAAAAAACAGATCTCAAAGATCTTGAAATATGTTCTTCGGTTATATTCCTCCTTTTCTTCAGAGATTGTTTCTGTGTTGTTGGAGTATTTGTTGAAAGCTTTAAGTTCCTCAGAGTTGGAAGGGAATGCAGATGATGCTTCAAATGGTCTAACCACTCAGAATGTTTTGGCTGATTGGAAGCTTATCCTACTCAAATTGTGTAATAAGGAACCAGAAATACTTCTGAACCTTCTTAAGGAAGTCCTTGATATGATTGAGACACGGGAAAACATGAAGTATGCAGAAGGTAGGTAGCAATTTTTTCCATCTACAGTATCCCTTTTCATTATGTATATTTTCTGGTTGAAGTTTAATATCTGTTTAATTGTTTTGGGGTAGTTGGGATTTATTTCCTTACATGCTTTTTCCTTTAAGGCCATATTGATTCACTTATTAAATGCCAGATACTTTCTAGTGCTTTTGTTATGCACAACTAATTGGAATGCTTTTCTGATTGGATTTCCTTAAGTATTGCTTCTGCCTTGAGCCAACATGAAGTCAGATATTGAGTTTCAAAATTATTTGTTCTTCATTTTGGTTTGGGATTTCATGACTTTTGCACACCTACTTTATTCATTATTTTTCTTAGTGTTTTTTTTTTTGGTAGATAACCCAAATATTGGGATTTCACACTCAAGGCCAGAGATTCAACAAAGAGATTATCTTTCTTCGTTGTTTGCATGGCTTGTCGGAATTCTCAGTAAAGTTCCTTCTGCGGCAGCAAATATGCCAAAAAGAGTTTTACATGAACTTCTTCGTAAATGTCTTCTAATATCACGACTTTGCAACAAGCAGCTCGTGGATTCAGCACTTCAGCTTGCAGAACTGATGAATGACAGCTACTTGAAGGAGAAAGTTCGAAAGTTCTCTCTTATTAGTTTGTCCAATTTAGACAGTGCAGATGATCAGAGCTCTTTATTGACTTCAAAAAACATTTTAAAATTTGAGGAATCCATACTTGAAGCAACCAAAAAGCTAGAGTTGGTTAAACAACAGATAATGAAAAATAAAAAACCAACGGCAATGGATTGTGACACTAAAAAATCACAGACATGGACTTTGGCAAAATCGTGGAACCCATGTCCAATTGGCATGTTGCCCCGAACTGTTGGGTCATCTGGTTATCTTCCCGTCCTTAATGTCATTGACGATGAAAAACAGAATCAACTACTTGAAAGTAAAGAGAATTGGAAATTGATCCCACATGGTAACAAAAGAGATGCCACTTTAGACCTTCCACAACTTGATAATTCAACTGTTAAGAAGATGAGGAAGACCAAAGAATTCAGTGAATCAAACAACGAATTGCCAATGCAAGTGGTGAAAGGATGTCTCTTGGTGGGTGGAGTTTTGAAGAAACTTACAGAAGAAGAGCTACTAGCCATTGAGTCTTCTGTAAGGATTTTAGTTTAGTTTAATTTATAGTTATTGCTTAGATCTTGCCTAAGATTTAATTCATGATGTTTGTTATTTATACGGTTATTTTTTCATTTATGTTAAGATATAGTATGGTACCTGTAAGATACAGGTGCCTAACCTTAAAATATGCAATTCCATGAAACATAAGATAATGAATCCTGTAGCTTAATTTACCTGACATTCATGCATTCTTTTGCCCTTTCTCCATTTTCATTTGTGCTAAGTGCATTCACAATCAATTGGTAGAGAAAAGTCCAGCAGGGGCGACCTGAGAACACATGCAACCAAATTTTGAATCGGCTTTATGTATTCTCAGGACGACCCTGGAGAACCCCTCTACCTCCCCATATTTTGGAAATATCTGTGCCTGAAGTGGAACATTGAACTTTGAATAATGTTTCTATCAATGTAATGAGTTTATGCAATCTGATTCAATGGATATATAGCCTAAAGCAGTAGTACTTGTAGGCTTAGATGTACTACACCCAAGTACTTGTCATTAAAATGAAGGGATATGTGTGTTAACGTTGGAGTACAACTTTGTACTACTGGTTTTAACGCAAATCTAAGACGCTAGGTAGTAGTACTACGGCTTCCCGTTGTCAACACGTCAATGGCAATGCAAAAATACAATTATCGTTGGACTACGTCAAAACTAAAAATGAAGGAGAAGTGAAAATGCGTCTGCATTTAATGATTTAAAATAAATCTTGTTTCTTACACGTTGAATTGCAATAAAAAATGTTAAACCCAAAATGGGTAGATTTATAATTTTACCATGTATTCCGGAGTTCGAAGCGGTGCAAATATGCCTCAAATAACTTTTTTTTTTTTTTTTGTAGTTTAGGTAAACAAGAATATAAATTTATTTTCCATAAAGGATTTTATATTTTAATAGGAACCATCAACTGTATCATATACAGATATTCTAAATGCAGATAAAATTTAAAAAGCACTCCGTGTAACATAAGAAAATTGTATTTTCAACAAAAATATTTAAAATTATAAATGATATATACATTATTAATTCACGTAGTATTTAATAAATGTATACTAAAGGAAAAATATTAAACTTGTAATGTATAATTATTCTGAAGAAGAAAAATTAGTAACGCGTCATTTTACGAAAGATAGACTAAAATTAGGTCAGTTTTAACCTTTAAGATAGTGTACTCTAATTTAAAATAAGTTCAAAAATAATTAATCCGAGAATATTAGTTAAAGTTTGGGGGGAAAAAGAAGTAAATTTAACATAAAAAGGGACCTAAATAAAATTCTTTTAGTGTATAAGTAACTGAAATTCTAAAAGAAAAAAAATGATTTTTCTTTAGAATTTACAAAAAAATATATTAAAAAAGTGTTAAGCGATGATGGAATAATATATCTATAGATAGTACAGTGTTAGACTATTTTAATCTGAAAAGTGAGGACTTAATGTTATTGCACAAGGGATGGATAATGAAGAATATATGTAAAAAGTTTAAAGAAAAGGATCTTAATATAATATCATTCAAAAAAAAAATATTGTCTTCACCACTAGCTAATGTTTTAGAAAAAAAAATTGAAAAATGGAAAAGGAGTGGAGTGTTTTTATATATCCAATCCACTCTCCTAAAATGTAAAAAAGAAAGCCTTGGCATTGGAGCTAAATTCGAACAATTGACAATCACGAGGAATTAAATGGCATGAATACTTTGCATTGCAAAAATGCATTGACTGTCACGAGGAAAAAAAAAAGGTAGGAAAAGATTAGAGATCAATATGAATGCATGCAGATTGCAGACATGGAAGAGAGTGAAAGGTTGGAAAAGCCTTTGAATTTGCCCTTTCCATTCACTTTTAAATACACCACCATCCCTCATTTTTCTAATCCTCTGCACTCTGCTTGACCTAAATTGTTGTCTTTCCTAGGTTCAAAAGAAACAACACCATGTTCCTCTCTCCACTAACCATCACTTTTTCACCTTTTAATTATCCCCTCTTAATAACAAAAGTTCTTCAGAGAAAAGAGAAAGGAAAATTATTCTTGCTCTGGTGGTTATGCTTCTGACAATTCCTTGGTGACATTCTAAAACTAAACCACTTTCAATAAAGAACAATAATGTAAAGTGTAAACATATGTTAATCTTACTCCCATCTTCTTTTTCTTTCATGCTTACAGCCTTACACCAATTTCTCATCATTTTTACGTAAAGAGTGTAACTATGTGCATACAATGTAAATAAGAATCAACAACTAATGAAATGAAGAGAAAGTTGTGCACAATAATATGGGACCCTTGATATAGAAAAAGAAAAATATATAGTGTCAGCAGGGACGGAGCCAGGATTTCAATACTGGGGGGCCGAGAATAAATAATATATAATTTATAATAAATGAAAATTAAAGTATCAAAAGCATATAAAAAAAAATATAAAAAAAAATTAAAATTGTTGGGGGGGCCGTGGCACCCGTAGGTCCCCCCTTGGCTCCGTCCTTGATAGTGTGAACAAAACCACACTAGCGAGACAAATGCATGAGAAGCAATGATGCAAAAATCCAAGTAATAGGGGCAATTACTTACTTTACATATAAATGGTTCATACACTAAAGCTTGCTAGCATGTGAATTTTAATCATTTGGTGGTGAATTCTTCATGCACTGATGAAGCACTCTTCGCAGGAAGCACATATATGACTTTATTAAGTAGAAATATCAACTCAGAACCCCCACTAAGATTTTCTTTTCAAACAAATATTTTTCGTCCACTAGATGAGGGTGACTAAAGTCGGTAGAGGATAAAATATAAGCCAAACATGAGATTTGTGTTGACACATTACATATTTTTATTCTGTTTAATTATGAATATTCATTCTGTTATCTTCAATCTTAATTTGTTTCAAAGGTTTCTTTATGCATTAAGATGATGGTTTACCACTTTTTTCTTTGTAAGGGATTTTTAATCTATTCCCTTTATTGAAATGCAGTTTTTGCCTTTTTGGTCTTCGAAACTATTTAACTTTAAAAGAACGTTAAGAAGTGGCACAGTTTCTGTTCTTCAAATTTCAAAGGAGAAATCATGCAATTTAACCTGAGTGTTAACTTTTACTAAAACCACTAAGGTTTCAAACCTTCTCTTTTTGTTAATTAATCCAACAATAGTCAGTTTTGGGGGCATCTTCTCTAATTTAATTTAGTTGCCACATGCTGATCTTCACATGTTATGCATTTAGATTTGTGCATGATGCATAAAAGACAAAACCCTCTCTCTAAAAGGCATGCAGTGGGTCACATGGATGGAGATATATCATGTGACATGTGATGCAACATATATTGCCCATTTCTACTGGAAACAGTAGGTGTTGGTAATATTAACTTGGAATAGAATCTTCTCATTATTGAAACATCCATTTGGACCTTTCAGATTCTTAGCAGTGTGATGCAGGGTGTTTTAGAGGCTTCCTACCTATACTTTGACCAACAAACAGTGCATGCAAAAATATCAAGACTCAAAAAAGATGCTTGGATGTGAAGATCGTGGAACTAGCTACAATATGTCACTTAATTTCAGCACATATATTTTCAAAGTAAAAGTGAGATAGAAGAATGTGAAAAGAAAGAAAGAAAGAAAGAAATCAGAAAGAGAGTGATGAATGTGACCCCTCCAACAATGGAATCTAGAACTAGAAGGTTGTGCACAAGATCATTTTCTTCCTTCTATAATCTAATTAGGCTTTTAATAATTGAAATATATAGAAGATTTAATAGTCATGCACCAATAATAATTTAAAAGATTTCATATCGTTAATTAATAAAAAAAATTACAGTATATATAATTTTTTAGATAACTATTATAAAAATTAATAAATTTATAATTCATGTGAATTGTAAATTGTGATGGAATATATCACCATTTATATACCTTATATATTCAAATGAGAGAGATTCACCTGTAATAATTATGCAGTACTATATAATTAAATACATTATTCTATGATTGAAGACTTAGAAGGAGGTACTTGTTCTATGTGACTAGGTCACGGGTGTGCTTTGGATGGTTCAAAAATGAATAAAGGTCAGAATGTTCTACCTTGAAAACTAGGTACAAAGCACTTCCAGTGTTTACAATTATATAATATTAATAACCCTTATTTCTATTATGTTCTCTAGTAATGTACAGAGGCAAAGTTTGACGTATAGCTGTAGTGGGAAAAGATTTAAAATGGTGATCCTCGTGATCACAACCCAACATTGATCCCCACAAATATCCCTATAAAAGAAGAAAAGGTATTTCTTCAGAAAATAAAGGGGGGGTGCATAATATGATAGCTGAAAAAAAGGAAAATTACAACCACATAATTCTTCAACAGTGTTTATCTTTTCTGATTTTTCTCAGACACTTTTCTCTAGCTGGAAATAAAAAGTCATGATTTGTGTGATCTACGAAAGTCTCTATCCCATCAATCCTTATTATAGTACTTTATTTGAATGAGATTGTTGAAACATGGATAAGATTAAACCAAGAAGGAAAACTGTACTCATCATGTTATCACTTATGTGTAAATGATATAATCTTGATTTATTGATATATAAGAAGATTTGGTGATGAAAAACAAAGAATGGTTAGTTTCATATTCTTAGTAAAAAGTACATATTTTCATTATTTGAATATATATAGTTGAATTTATCTTTCTTTTATTATCTAAAATGTGGAATGACATGTTTCAACATTCAATAAGTAACATGAAAGAATCACTACTCAAAAATAAAATGGCTTGTTTCCATAAAGTCCTTTATATACTTCTTTTATACTTCAAGGTTTCAAATGCATGCATTTATCAGATTAATGTATTCATTTTGAATGGAAATTTTACATAGGTATCATTCAGGGGAGCTTATATGATTAAATTAAAATTTAATACAAAACAAATCAGTCCAATTAACAAATGAATTCTCTATTAAAAACATGCCAAAAAGCTTGAGAAGTTGAGAATATCTCCTCTTTTATTGGACAAAAAAATATGTATCAAAGCAGGGTTTGGTTGTAGTTTCCAAGTAAAGACGAAGGTGGAGGAGAGGGAGGGACCAACAAATTGAACAACTTCTGACATTGTATAACAGTGGGCCAATGAATATACATAAAAGTAAATGTTTTCTTTTCAATTTGGAGGACTACCACAAGTCCACAACCTTCCAAGTTTCAGTTCCACACAAGAACAAATGCTTAAAATATCACACCTTTCAATTTAATTAACTATTACTCTTGGAATTTACGGAGGATATGAGATCTTTGTATCTATAAATAAAAAAATCACTGTCTTATTATGCAGTCTATACATATTTTTTTAAACCTCAAACTCAAATTAAATTATTTAAAGAAAAAACCCACCTTACTGCATTTTAAAATTTTTTAATATAACCCCTCCACTTTCCATCCAAAATTTGGAAAATTTTCTACCATAATTCATATAATAATGGTTTAATAGACAAATTTTCAATACACGATTTGTTTATAAGATTTTTAAGATAATTATTATAAAAGTTAACAAATTTATCATATACAGTTATTTGTAATTAAATTAGAATATAAAATTACCTTATAGTATATAACTTATTTTTCCTATAATAATTTCTACAATAAAGTAGCAAAATTTAAAATATAATAAATAATATGATAGGAAAAAATTATTCGTATAAATTATTATATGTGTATCATTATTAAGAATAAAAAAATAAAAACTAACTGTTCTCACTCCAAAATAAAAATAGAAAGTAGCTCACATCTCTAGAGGCATCACAACGCACCACTCCTGCATCCGAGAGAACAATCAATAGCTAATTAATAGCTCATTGGATCTTATTATAGCTTATCTCAGATAAATACATTGTTTTTACTGACATGGTCATATGCTTCTTAAAGTTAGTAAACTACAGACATAACAGAGGGGTAGGACAAAGAATAGTTATTTAAGTAATATGTCATATGTTTCTGTTTCATAAAGTTGTAAAATTATAATATGAGAGAGAGGTGAGAGGTTCTTTAAAAGTTGGTGGTGTTAAAAGTGAATGAAGAGGAGTGTAGTATTGGAAGCAGCTAGCTAGCACACTCTTTGGTTCAGTGATGGCTTTCACACTAGACAGGTGTGATGATAACATGGTGTTCACTATGGAGTCTCAGAAGTCAGTGCCAGCTCCCTTCCTGACAAAGACATACCAACTTGTTGATGACCCTTGCACTGACCACATTGTGTCTTGGGGTGATGATGAAACCACATTTGTTGTGAGGAGGCCCCCAGAGTTTGCTAGAGATCTTCTTCCCAACTATTTCAAGCACAACAACTTCTCAAGCTTTGTTAGGCAACTAAACACCTATGTGAGGATCCATCTCTTCTACTTATATCCACACTCTATCCTTCATGATTGTTCTTGTACTATACCTTAAGGACATGTTTAGATTCACAGATGTGAATCAGTGAAAACAACAATTGGTTGCTTTTGCGGCAACTCTGATGTGATTCTTGTTTAAACATGGAACCAAACATGCATTGAGATTACCTCATTGATTTAGAAGTTGGCCTAATAATATTACTAACTCACAAGAGTGAGGAAATGGAATCTTTGGTAGTATAAAAACTTCAAAAGTCTGGTGTGATTTTTGTTTATTATTATTTGCTACACAAGTTTCATGATTCATTGACCATGTTTGTAACACATCATATATATGTTATATGTACCTTTTCTTCTCTTGCAGGGTTTCAAGAAAGTAGCAGCTGATAGGTGGGAGTTTGCAAATGAATACTTTAGAAAAGGAGCAAAGCACCTTCTATGTGAAATCCACAGGAGGAAAACCCCTCACCACTATCAACAACACTACCACATGCATGACCATCCACCATCACAGCTTCTTCAGCCAGAAGAGAATCTGTGTTGGATTGATGCTCCTCCTTTACCATCTCCTAAACCAGGCACTGATATCCTCACAGCACTTTCTGAAGACAACCAAAGGCTGAGGAGAAAGAACTTCATGCTCCTATCAGAACTCACTCACATGAAGAATCTATACAATGACATCATATATTTCATCCAAAACCATGTGACTCCTGCTTCCTATGAACAAAGAAGCAGCAGTGCTATTTTGAAGCTGGTGGAATTGGATTCATCACCTCAATCACCAAATGTTGTTGTTAGACCAGCTAAGGGTCATGTTATGGAAAAGTCTTTGATGATAAGTTCTAGTGAAGAGGCTAATAGTTCTGTGAAGCTCTTTGGTGTTCCTCTTTGCGGCAAAAAGAGAGTGCACCCTGGTGACCTTGATCAACAATAGTCAGAAGTTCACATGATCATTGTTAGTTAGTATTGGACATGTCTGATTGATTTTGTTGACATTTGAAGAGAAGCATGTATAGAAGAGGCTTGTGTTCAGATTAACTAGACTACTGTTGTTTCTTTAGAATTTTCCATTGGTTCATATGTTCCTCAAAAGAAAAAAAAAAAGTAGAGCAGTTGTTTTTGCTTAGTTTGGAGTCAAAACTCAAAATTAATTAATAATAGCTTGTTAAATAATTACCTTTTTTCATAGTTATTTTACGATAAGGTTAGTGAGATTTTTTTAATACATTTTTTTTATTGTCGATCAATATTTATTGAATATCATAAATTTTATAAATATTATATTTTATTAATGAATCATTTCTAATTTAGTAATAAAATTGGTCAAAATTTGTGATTTTTAAACTTAAAACATATGAATAAGAGAGTGGTAGAAGGATTATCGCCGATAATTTTTCTTATTTCTTTTGTAGTTTCTCTCTATTTTCTTCTTTCTTTTGGATAACAAAGACCAAACATTATTATTTAGCAGGGATCCAATTCCAACAATTCCACGAAGAAAGGATCCAAAATAGTGACTACAAAATGACAACTATTTTCCTGCCAATAATCCAATGCTGATTTTATAGTACACTTTTCTGATGGAAAAGACATTTGAACCCGGGAAAGGATTAAAAATGGACGACAATAATATGTTGCCACTTTGATATTTATTATTGTGTTTTACTGTTTTTAATGTGTGCATATATGAACAAAAAATGAAATATAGAAGAAATTATATAAAGTAGTATTATTTTTATAATATATTCTATAACATATAAGAAAAAAAATATAAAAAAATATATATACATTATATAATAAAAATGTAACATTCTACTAAATTAACTAACTTTTAAAAATATAATAATAAGATAATTAAAAAAATAGATTGGGGATTAAGTAATTAAATAATGGGATTAATTAATTAAAATAGGAGAAAGAGAAAATGACTAAGAAATGGACTTATTAAGGGTGTAATAATAATATAAAAACAAATAGTCATATTCGTACATGATTCATTATGACATAGCTTGTTAGTTTGTCATTTATTATTTTTTTTAAGGAGTTTGTCATTTATTTTATTTAGTGGTAAAAAATAATAAAATATCATAATTAATATGTTGTAGTATATAGTAATAATTTATGTTTGATTCCTTACATTGCTAATTTAATCATTTGTAGTATTTAAGGGTAGTAAAAAATTTACATGTCATTAAAGAGTTTAGTAGTGTTAAAGAAGTTAGTTAGAATGTAAGTAAGTATATAACGTATGTTACTTAAATGAAAGTATAAATCATACGTTATTTAAATATATATATATATATATATATATATATATATATT